CTTGCCTTGCATGCCTGAGGCCCTGGGTTCGATTCCTCAGCACCACATAAGCAAAAAGAAAAAAGCCAGAAGTGACACTGTGGCTCAAGTGGTAGAGCACTAGCTTTGAGCTAAAGATCTGAGGGACAGCACCCAGGCCCAGAGTTCAGGCCCCATGATCGGACCCCCCTCTCCCAAAAAAAAAAAAAGAATACATGTGAGGTATCACCAAAGTAAGTCCAAAATCCAAACATTTGTCTTTCTGGTAGCAAAATTTTGTGGGGTATGCGCGCAAGCATGCATCCCAGTCCTGGTCTTGAACGCAAAGGCTAGGCACTGTCCCTGAGCTTCTTTAGCTCAATGTTAACACTGTCACTTGAGCCATAGTGTGACTTCTGGCTTTTTCTGAGTAGCTTTTTGGAGATAAGAGTCTCACAGACTTTCCTGTTCAGGATGGCTTTAAACCTTAATTCTCAGATCTCAGCTTCCTGAGTAGCTAGGATTATAGGCCTGAGATACTAGTGCCCAGGTGTGTTTTTTTTTTTAATTTTTTAAATGCCACAGTTCTTTCCTGATGAAACCCATAGGCAATCTTTACTCTGGAAAAATTTAAATCTTTTCTTACTGAAAGCAAAGTGTAAAGTTCTTCTAAGTTTATGAACCTAAGAAAGATAAACAATGTTTATGAAATGTTTTAGAACATGCTGCTGCACATGCCCACTTTAAGATAAATAAATAAAATAGTAGTAACAAAATGCTTGTCAATAACTATGTAAGTTTAAAACACTTGTTCTAAAAGCAAATATAAAGTTTAATATAAAGCCAATTGAATGAACTATAGTATAGAGATATATACTTTTGTTGTTGTTGTCCGTCATAGGGTTTAAACTCTAGGCCTGGGCTCTGTCCCTCAGCTCTTCAGCTCAAGGCAAGTGCTCTACCACTTGAGCCACAGTGCCACTTCCAGTTTTCTGGTGGTTTATTGAGGTAAGAGTCTCAGAGCCTTTCTTGCCCGGGCTGGCTTTGAACTGTGATCCTCAGATCTCAGCCTCCTGAGTAGCTAGGATTACAGGCCCGGCTGAGATAAATTTTAAAGTTGTTAAACAGAGGAAATTAGACAAGGAGTTAATATTTTTAATGTATATATTTGTACTTATTTATAGAACACTGTAGGTAAGTTCCATAATGTATACCTTTCCCTTACATTTCTAATTAATGCTGACTTTTACTTTGGCAGAACTTTGAAAAATAATTTTATGGTGATTCTTTTCCTCTTTCATTAAAGAGTCTTACGAAAGTAAAGGAATGGCTAAGAACAATAACGTATTAGCTTTTTCTTTTCTATTTTTACTACTACCATTCATATTATTACTAGTACAACTACTACAACTCAGGGCATCACACTTGCTACATACACAGTGCTACTCCAAGGGAATGCTTCCCTGGATTTTTTTTTCTAAGTGGTCATGCTAAGTGTGGCAAGCAACTGTGGATAAGAGCAGGGCCTATTTCTTATTATTCCAAACAATAGTGAAGAGCATTCCCGCTTTAGCTACTCTGCTTTCTATCTACTAAGTCATTGTCATTTTCAGCTGCCACTTACACCTCCTACCTTTCTACAAAACGACACAAGTTACCAGTTCAGTACCACTCCTCTCAATACCAGTTAGTTGTACTAGCAAATTCCATCATTTTCTCCTTACCAAAGAAAATAGCTGGTACACAATCAGCTCTATATTTGTTCTTATTCTTTGAAGAGACCGAAGTATACTGTTTGCTGATTTTGCTTAACATAAGCAGTGATTTTGCTAGTACAATAGTAATACAATGTAGTACAACAGTAAATCATGTTTGTTTTATTGACTTGTCTTAGCTAATTATTTTATACAAACTGATTAAAGCATATGCATCCCTAAAGGTTACAATAATATTATAATTAATGTAAATAAATAATAATAAATATTAAACATATCAAAATCTAATAATATGCTTGAACCTGATATTGATATTAGGATATATTACCCCCAAAATTTAAAGAATAACCAATCATTAAGCCTAATCTACATGAAGAAGAATAAGACACCAGTCTAAGAAAAATAAGCCACACACAGGTAAGGACAGCAAACATCATATGGAGGGGAGGGAGGGGTTGTGGTTGTATTTTTCACAAAAGTAGATAATATTCTAAGACTGAAAATTTTGCTTACTGTAGGTTAGCAAAAAAAAAAATGTAAAAAAATAAAAAGCAAAAATTTCTCAGGAGCAAGAAGAAAAAGAAATATGATATACTGATATCTTATTCAATTCTGATTCCTCTCACAATCACACATCTTTCTAGCTAGGTAGAGGTTTTCCTTTTTTTCCACTGTCAAAGTAGTTGACAGAGAACCAAGAAGATGATATAGTTGGAAATTTATGTAATAATTGGCAGTCTAATATCATACATGAATTCTTAAATGTGGTTAACTGTAATAAGAGTTCCAGGCCAAAAAAGTGAACACCCTTAATTAGCAAACAGTAAACCAGAACTTGTGAGAAAGATGAGAGAACAAAACAGAGGAGGAATCAAGCATAATAGATAAATAAAACTCAGCTGGGTATGTTGGCAGATATTAATTATAGTTACAGCTAGTCACCAGGTGGAAACAGGAGGATTAGGAGTTCAAGATCAGTCCAGGCACAGTTAACAAAACTCAATCTCGAAAACAAAATAGAAACAAAAGGGCAATGACACACGTGCCCATGTGCAGCAAGCAGGGTAGGAGTGGTTAGCAACTGAAAATGATAATGGTAAGAGAACCTATTTTGCATGTTTATGGAACTAGGCTCAAATCATAGTGCTGAGAAGGAAAAGAAAAGGAGATAAGGGAGAGAGAAGGAAAAGGGAGGGGGAAAAGTTAAAAAAAAAGGGAAGGAAAAAAGGAAGAAAGAGAAGAAAACAAGAAACAGATGAAAAATAAGGAGAGAAAATAAATTTACTTAAGTACTCTACATGAATCTTTATTTGCCTTTCCAAAAGCCCCAGGACCAGTATATACTACTACTAACAACAACAACAACATTTATCAAGATGAACTCCAGGAAATGGAAATAAGATCTTTTTGCTTGTGGCTGTTTTGTTTTTGGTCTTGTTTGTTCATTTATCTGCCTTTCAGAGGGTAAAGGGGGGGGCACAGAAATGGTGGGAGAAAGGGTGAACAAATGCAGCAGTGATACTCACTAGACACTATGTTGAAAGTGAACTATACAATTTGTGGGTAGAAAGGGAAAACTGGGAGAGAGCAATGGAAGGAGTGATATTGTTTAAAAAGAAATGTACTCTTTACCTGACTTATGTACCTATAACCTCTCTGTACATCACCTTTAAATAACAGTAATATAGACTTACTGTCAATTTGTTTCAGACTACAACCAAATCTCTATTTAAAGGTTCTAAAATAGTTCATTTTTAAAACTAGATTTTGCGTCCTTTACTCTTCAAGATATAAATACATTAAAATTTTTCCTGCATTAAAAAACTCATTATTGGGCTGGGAAGTTGGCTCAGTGGCAGAATGCTTGGCTCACATGTATGAGGCCCTGGGTTTGATTCCTCAGCAACACATAAACAGAAAAAAACGGAAGTGGTGCTGTGGCTCAAGTGGTAGAGTGCTCGCCTTGAACAGAAGAGCTGAGGGACAGCACCCAGGCCCAGAGTTCAGGAACCATGACTGACAACAACAACAACAAAAATTATTTAAAATATTGGCATCTTTTGGAGAAATTATTATATATGTCACCATTTTTCAAAGATCATAAAAATTATAAATTCTATAACTCATAAAAATATGTTGCTTAATTAAGAGAACCTCAATAACACTTAGCTTTTAACATTCTGCTATCTGATATACTATGGAGTCAACGGGGAAAAATTTAGAAAAACTGTACTCAATATGAATAAGCAATGTTAGAATAAACACAAGAATGTCCACTTTATCATGCATTTTGATTTTCTTTTCCTGAGAAGGCGGCAAGCTAAATTACCTTCTTTCAAGCCTGTTGTATTAGCCATTATTATATACCCTTAGGCCAGGTTTAATGAATTAAGTGTTAGAAAGGCTCTAACATGGGGCTGGGAATGTGGCTTAGTGGAAGAGTGCTAGCCTAGCATGCATGAAACCCTGGGTTCGATTCCTCCATACTACATAAACAGAAAAAAAAATGAAAAAGGGTCTAACATAAATAATCCGTATTTTTCAATCCTCTATGATTCAAACTGTTCTAATTCCTTTCAAGAGATTTCTTTTATGACAATTTTATCATCTCAGTAGTTGTACAGAGGGGTTATATTCAACATGTCAGTTTATGGCTACAAAACTTCTTGATCAATGTTAACTCTTTTATCATCATTCTCCTCCATGTTTCCCAACTCCACCCATCCTCTCAATTTTCCTAGTTCCATTTTCACATATATACACTGAATATTGTAACTCCCATCTTTATTCCCATTAACTGATTAAAAATTAGAAGCTTGGAATTCTTTTACAGAAAGGTAATTCAGCTTGCTAACAACGTAAGTTAACAACAACTTAGGTCAGATTAATGTACCGCCACCCAATGGTATATAATAATTCAAGCACTCTATAAACTCAAATTTATAGATATACTTATGAACAGTTGATCCAGCATTTACAAACATGTGCTTTCATATATAAAAATATCAAGAAAACTAATTAAAATGTGAATATAAATATTTCAGCAATCTACAGGCACCGTATTAAATTTTATTTCAGAATGATAAAAATTTTCATTACGTCAGCTATTCACCAACTCTGGAAGTTGTAACTACTGTTCAGAATCAGAGCATTATTATGAATTGCTGGTGATTTGCTTTCATCACCTTATAGTACTTACCTTTTCAGAATTTGTGAAAACGTCAGATTTCAATTCTCCATCTAGAAATTCATTAAAGTATTTCATCAATTTCTGAGCCTCCACTGCCCGTTGTCTAGGTGTGTTTACCCCCTCCAACTGGTCTCCGAGGTGACAGACTTTGGTTGCTACATAGCTAATGTGTTCATCTAGTTCTTGGAAATGTTGAAAGGCAACCTAGGAAAGATACGCTTAAGTATAAAATATAATCAGAGAACTACAAATCAAAACTATCAACGTAAAGCAAAGTGGTAAAAACGCTTGCCCAACATGCTCAAGACACTGGTTTGATGCCTAGCAGCACAAAAAAGATAAGTAACAAAAACTTTAAGACTAAACCTCCAATCTCATTTCTGCTTTTGATTAAATATAACACAGAAATTATAATGAGATCTACAAAATAGTTCATGATTATTAGTCTACGATATGAAATTTTTAAAACTTTAAGCATGTTATAAGCTTTAACACTTTCAACTATTACAAATAACCATATTTATCATGTATACATCGTACTTAACAAAAGTACTCAGCACTACAGAACCTTAAATAATAATTCTGGAACCACTGAAACCAAGTATCAAAGAGCCCAGATATTTGAAGACCCCTGTTGATACTAAAAGGATAACATTTAAAAATGTCACAAGTAAAATTATTGATTAAAATGAAAATATTTAGTATGTATATTAAATATTTAAAATGCAAGCTAAGACAGACATGGTGACACATACCTGTAATCCCAGCACTTGGGAAGCTGAGGCAGGAGGATCAAGAGTTTGAGGTCAGCCTGAGCTACATAGCAAGACTGTTTCATTGCCCTCAGCTCCCTAAAACAAGCGATGCTAAAGATTATATATGGTAAAATCGCTCTTTCTAGTTTTGAAAACATTCAAGTCTACAGCAATTATTTTACAAAGGCAACATCCTTCCCAGAATGTTCTTTCCTTTATCCCAAAGGATTCCTCTATGGTAGTTGAAAACTGTGTGCAATGACTGCCTTAAAATTCTCATTAGCAGGACTGCTGACAATTCAGTACGGTACTTTTGTTCTAACCTTAAATCAAGGGGAAAAAGCTATAGACTGTACTGATGGCTTCTTATATGTTAGATATCATTCTAAATATATATATATTAAATAATTCTCATCAGGATTATTAGCCCCAAGAGGTTAAACTGTTTCAGATTATACAAAACTAAGAAATGTCAGAGCTACAATATAAACTTAGGTAAACTGGCTCCAGAGTTTGTTAGCTTAATTATTAATACTATTTTTATTACCAAAGGAAAACTGCATTAGAAGCATTTGGAAACTGTTACCATAACTACATGAAAACACACTCCCCATCTCATTAAATTACTAACTTTTTAATTACTTTCTCACAGCCATGTACGTTTAAAAGAACATGAAAGAACCTAAGTAAATGAAGTTCTTTAGCAGAAAACAGTTTGTTAATCCCATCACTAAAGAAAAAAACAGCCCACGGGAGGCAGTTAAGAGTTCAACAATACTCTTCAAACTACATTTAGAAAGGGCAAATTGTGAAAGGAATTTGGAGATTCCAGATTAACTCTAGGGCCTCTAAAAGTGAGTAAGAAGTTGGCCTACTTAGTTCTAGGGCCAAATGTTTTGGTTTCACTTCAGAGTAGACTGAGAAAATATTCTATATCTGCTTTTCTAGTTTCAGTAAAATTCTCACTCAGCCATATACTTTATACTTTTGTGAAACTACCCAAACAAGGTTTCTCTAAGGAAAATCCTGATCCAGGTATTTATTTCTTCATGACAGAAGAGACGGCAAATGACTCCTAAATATTCATGCTATAAAGAGTCTCTAAAAGAACAAGTCTATGTAGCAGTCATTTAGAAATTTTTACATCTTAAGAGCACAGACCACATCACATCTGAATATCATCCTAGCCTTAAAAGGGAATAATTTGATTCCAAACTAACATCCAGTAACAAGTCAATGTCAATTCATAACATCATTAATAGTTTATCTATTGGGACCAGAGAAAAGACAAACCTCAACTGCTACTGCAATTTGACTTGACTCTCAAGAACTTAAAGAGAAAAAAAATAAAAACATATCCTACATAAGCTATTCATGCCATTGCTAAATGTTACCTGGTTGCTTTTCTGGAGCTCTTGTACCTTCTTGGCAAATTCCTTGGCTTCCTTCTGACATTGTTGTTCTAATTTCTCTACTTTCCTCTGAATCCTTTCATCCATTATCTGGAGTTCTTGAATATGATTTACAAATTCTTCTAATAATCTAATAGAGGAAAATTAGAATATGTATCAACCTATCCTTTATTTGTTAAAAGGAAATTGACTAGCTCACTTATAATCACTAAACCTTTACTTATTTTTACTAAGTAGTGTTTTAATAGAATTCTCTGATAGCAACTTGTTAGTAATTTCTCGTAAAGTAATTTAGTCTTCCTAAAATGTCATAATTTCTCTTTTGCTTTGTCTAGGTCACATTGTTTTCAAAGGAACACTGCATTTGGAAATATAGTTACTCTTTCTTAACTTTTCAACAGATTGTCTCTGAGGTAAATAAAAACATCCAGAATCTCCATTCAATTTTCAAAATAGTTGATGTAAATAAATGTACAATATAAATATATGATTCATTCCCCAAATTCAATGACTATGTTCTCTAATTTGCAGCTACTGTATTTTGAAAAACATTTTCAACATGTGTTATTGGGGGGGGGGAGGAATTCTTTATTTCTTTATTTTAGGAAAGTCTTTATCACGTAACCCAAGCTGACTTTAAACTTTGCAAGCTTTCTGAATGTTGGCATTTAGCTCTCTGATCGTTTCTTTACCTTTTAGGATCAAAAGCTTCCGGTCCACCTCTAGAACCTCCTCCTGGGGTTCTCCATACAAGACGTTCAATATACTCGTCAGCCACAAAAGGCTCCTAGTTCACAAAACAGTTTTATGGAAAATAACAGCATTATTTTAAGAATCTTTGCAAAATTTAGTTTATTTTTATATGTAACCAACTTTATGATTTATCTCGGCAAATGTCTTTCTTGATTCACTTCTGAATCAAATTTGACAAATTTTCGAGTCCTTCTGGGTGGTTTTCCTATTAGGTAGGCTCTCTACTACTTGAGTCACAACCCCTGCTCTAGGTTTTGTGTGTGTGTGTCTGTGTGTCTGTGTTTTCTGTATTCTATTTTTTATTGTGAGAATACCATATAGAGGAGTTACAATTACATGGGCAAGATAATGATATCAAGCATTGTTGCTTCCTTTGTTCCCCCTTCCCCACCCTCCCCATATTCTCCCCACCTGACCTTCCCCCCCACACACACACCAAAGTTGTGAAGTTCATTTTTCGACATAATGACTTGTACATCTCCTCATTGTTGCAATGGGTCCACCTGTATCCCTAGTCAAATGATATGTTTTTCCCCTTCCTCTCCACAAATTATACCAGCATCAAATACAGTGAAAGCAGGGGTTATATTGTGGGGGGAGGGACATACAAAGCAGCATAGAAATCATCTTATAAATATGTTGGAAACAATTGCATGAAAGAAAAAAAAACACTTGAATAAATTATCTTGGGTTCATTTCCCTAACATCAACTTATCTGACCTTTTCTGCTTGACTCAGACATATACTAGTTATTGCAAATAAGGGAAACCATGGGACCTATGTTTCTTTGGGCCTGGCTTACTTCACTTAATATAGTTTTTTCCAAGTCTTTCCATTTCCTAATAAATGGGGCAATGTCATTCTTTCTGATGGAGGCATAGAATTTCATTGATAACAGCATTATTTATTAATATAAAACAAACTTTAATATGAACATTGTTGAATGACTTTTTAGTTCAACATGGAAGTCATTCTCTCAATACAGAATTGGAGATAGAAATGAATTGTTCGTTAATTCAGAATATCTACAAACACTTACATATGCTGGGCACTGAGAATACAGATGTGAAGTCAATAGACAGAGTTCTCTGAAAAACCTCATAAAAATGATCTTCTAAGTAGGGATACCAATTAACCAAGTAATCACAAAAACAATGAATTATAATTGATTCAAATGTGATCGCCAGAAACGTCCTAACAGAGGAACAGAGATGTTGGGAATATAGGAAGTTCAGATGAAGACTGGCTAGGAAGGGTGCTGGGGCATCTAAGCTGTGAGCAGAAGACAAATCAGCCAGATAATAATGGAACAAACTGTTTTCTATACTGTTAGGAAAGGGAAGATAAGTTTTAACTGCTAAAGGAACTGAGAAACAGGCGCAGCTGCTAGGTCCAAGTAACCACATATAGAAGATCCAGAGAGGGATGACAAGATCAATAAATGGTTTATCATCAGCACATTTTTGAATGTGAGGAATCAATCACCCAGTCTCATGCAGTAAGAGTAGGTAAACACGGCTGAATTTCAGTCAGAATAAGAATAACCATCTGAAAAACTATCAGAATGAGATAGGAATGCCTTCTAGATGTGTTTTATCTCCATTAGTAAGGAAGGTCCTATTTCATTACTATCTGAAGACACTGAAGTTGTGAGACATTAACTACTTATTCAAGAAAACACGATTTATATGCTTTAACCCTGAGATTTAAATTACTCTATTCTACAGCTATAAAGTGAATGGAAAGTTCAGTAAGCTATAAGAAACTAGTAAAGTTATGTTAGTGAAGATAAGCAGTGAAGCTAAGAAAGAATAGGCTGATATATGAAGGACAATACATTTTATCATTGGCTTTTTTCCATTATCATATGGCAAATACTAGCATCCTTTTTCAAAGTCCTTCTCTTTTTTCTCTTCTTAATCCTAGTTACTCAGGAGGCTGAAATCTGAGAATCGAGGTTCAAAGCCAAATCTGCCATGGGCAGGAAAGTCCATGAGACTCTTACCCAATTAACCACCAGAAAATCGAAATTGGCACTGTGGCTCAAGTGGTATAGCATTCACCTTGAGCTGAATAGCTCAGGGACAGCATCCAGGCCCCAGAGTTCAAGCTCCACGACCAGCCAACCAAAAAAAAAGTCTTTATTTTGTTATTTTTCTATGAAGGAAAAGAACTCTATTTTGAATTAAAAGACTATTGGACTCAAATTTTTTCAACAAAAGAAAATCATAAAGGAACTAGGAAAATATGGCCTAGTCAAAGGGAACAAAAACCGAATAAAAACTGAATTGAAAAGTCCTAACAGTAGTATATCTAGCAATCAAAGACTTTAAGAACTGTCTTCAAGATAAGCAAAGAAATAAAGATGTGAAGTCAAAAAATATGCATAAACAAAATGAAATTATGAATAAAAAGACAGCTTAAAAAGAACAAAAAAAATGGACCTGAAAATTATAACTGAGTAAGAAGAAACAATCCGAGAACTGAAGACTGTACAATGAAAATTACTGTGACTGTGAAACAGAGGAAACACAGTTAAAGTCAGCAGAGCCTAAGATATCCATGGGGCCCAATCCAAGTGTACCTATACACATTATAGAAGTTCCAGCAGAAGAAAGAAAGAAAAAAAAAATAAGGGAGATAACTGATATAATAATGGCTGAGGACTTCCCAATTTTGCAAAAAGACATAAATATAAATATCCAGGAAGCTCAAAGTACTCCAAGTAAGATTAATTCCAAGAGATTCACATAAAGACACTTAAACAACATAATTAACAAAATAAATCACATATAACAAAGGCATATCTGAAGTATACCAGTTCAAAAGCAGTACTTTGTAAAGATGGAGCACTAATCTTCAAGATGCAGTATGCATTCTGAATCAAACACTTTTAACTGGTGGTGTATCCTCAATAGGAAAAACATGAATCCAGAAAGAAGTAGTAGAAAACATGGCCATGATGCTTAGTTTGTGTATATTTCTAAAAATCTAGGGTCTGCAGTAAAACTCAACCAAAGGAAGGACACTTGGCCAGGAACAGAATCCCATTATAGATGAATGTGCTGCCTATTCACATTTACTGCTTATGTTCAAGGAATAAAAAAATGATCAACTTTTGCAGAGACAATCAACACTGATCATTACAATGAGGCTAGCAGAGAAAAGGAATATTATCTTTGTCATGCAAGTGATCCTCTTGGGAGTATGAACTCCCCTACCAATTCTGAAATTGAAAACCATTGTAATAAAGGCCTAACAAGGGTATGACAACCAGTTAAGACAAGAATTTTAGAAATGGATGTGAGGGTGATCTGGCTGTGACACCTGTCAACCCCCCCCCCCCACATCACCAGGGTTGATTCGCCTGATCTGGCTGGCTAGGCAGTGTCTCCTTACTTTCTCACCACTCCCTGCGTGTCCCTCCCAAAGCTGCATGTTTGACCAAAACTAGGATGACCATCCCCAATAGAGGAGTAAGTATACAAGTAGTTATGCCCCCCTGCTAGAACCTCCAAACACACTCTCAAAAATTAAAGAGATGGAAGTGGTACAGTGGCTCAAGAGGTAGAGCACTAGCCTTGAGCTGAAGGGCTGAGGTACAGCGTCAGGCCCAGAGTTCAAGCCCCATGACTGAAAAGAAAAAAAAAAAAGAATTATAGAGACACTATGCAAAGTGAAGTGGAGTTAGAATAATGTGTAGTAGAGGAGAAAGACAGTATCAGTTGCAACTAAGACTAGCTATAGTTGCAGAAACTGCTCATTCTACTCACATTCTTCTAATTTTCCTCCAGGATGAGACCCAATTGCAATTTTAAATATGAAGATGTGGAGTCTAGACACAAGAGTAGTCTATAGTAGATACAATTATGTGCACTCCAGATCTCCCATCAAAAAGAAACTTGCTCTAGCTACTAGTACCGCTGTCAGGGAAAAAACAAAAACAAAAAAAAACCCAACCTTTTACTTGGCAGTATTTGTGGGGATCCTTTCAGTATAGGATACACTTCACTCACTATCAGACCTTTCTCAATATAGCATGAGTCCAATGACTGACTGAGATGAGCATATGAAAGCCTGATCCCTTTGGCCAAAAGCACACAACTACAAAAAGGTCATTTTAGTTCCAGAACTCTCTGTAGGAGCCACCAATATTGTTACTGGGCTATCATTGTACCTCTCTTTTTCACATGCCCAATCCTACTTCCTTACTAACTCCTTCACAGACATTTATCCTGTCTTCTACCTTTCTTCTTGCCTTTATACTATATATACGTCAAAAAGGCCTTCACTAGAGGCTAGCACCTTGATTTTAGACTCCTCAATCCCCAGAACCGTGAGAAATACATTTCCTTCAATTATTTGATCTGTGGAATTCTGTTAACAGTAACACAAAACAGACTATAATAACACTATCCCCATACTAAAAAACTAGCTCAATTCTTCCCTAGTGTTCCATTTGGCCCTTGAATGGTTCCTTCCCTAGATGATACACATTGATTTCTCCATTCTTGATTTCTATAAACCTAAATCCAATGGAGAACAATGTATTACTAATTGTTCTCTCTCATTCCTTCCTTCCGGTCTTCCTTCCTCCTTCTCTCCCCTATCCCTTTCTTCCTCTGTACTAAGAGGTTTGAACATAGGGCCTTGCTAGGCAGGCACTCTACTACTTGAGCTAAGCCACCAGATCTTTTTATGCATTTGTTCTATTTTTTAATAGGGCCCAGGCCTGCATAGGCACCCAGCTTCATTTTTTTGTCTTAAAACTATTTTTCAAGTTCTTTTCACCACACTTTAATTGAAAGCAAAAGTAGGCTCTGCCTTATAATGCCCTGCTTTCCAGCTGTGGTCAACAGAACAAAGCTAGGCAAACCAAACACTAGCTAGTTGAGTGTTTGGCTGAATCCTCTAAAATGATATTGAAAAATCACACTCTGATCTATATATCCAAACTCAGAAGAGTAAGACCATCATACCAAAACCCAGAAATTAAAGCAAACATATGGTACTATCAACCCAAGATACTAATAG